GCCCTGCGGAACTTACGTTCACCGAGATGGACGTCGGTTGGTGTGGGGAGCGCTGTGAAGGTGTTTTCGGTAAACTCCGCGTAACCTTTCCAATCAGCTTTAGAAAAGTTGATATAGGTCCGGTGTTTGGCGGAGGCAAAGTCGGTTGGTTTATCTATCGAGATGACTATGGGTAGGTGGTCTGATGCTAGAGTCAGCATAGGTCGCCATGTTATGCTGTTTATCAGACCAACGCTAACAATTGTGATGTCTGGCGAGCTACTGCAGTTACCCATAATCCTGGTGGGTGCGTCGTCGTTCATTGTGCAGAATGTCGAATCGTCTATCTGCTCAGCCAAGTCTGTTCCCCTACGATCGTTTGACAGGCTTGAGTGCCAAAGATCGTGGTGCGCATTAAAGTCACCTACTACCATACGGTTTTCACCTCTGAGGAGCGCACCTATATCAGGATGATATCCTGCCGGGCAGCAGGTGACAGGGGGTATGTATATGTTAAATATTTCGAGATCGACATCGCCTGACCGGATAGCGATGCCCTGACATTCTAGGGTGGTATCCCTGCGGTCGATGTCTGCTTCGATAAGACGATACTGCACGGTGTGGTGCGTGATGAACGCTAAGCCACCACCATTACCTCGCTCGCGATCACGACGGTGCACGTTGTACCCGGCGCAATTCAACAAAGTTGAATTGCTGTGCAACTTCGTCTCTTGGACCGCAGCTATCAATATACCATGCCGACACATGAAGACGGTTATCTCCTCAATCTTGCTCTGTAGCCCGTTGCTGTTAAATTGAAGGAGCTTCATGTGGTTTGGGAGACGTGTCGTGATGTGGGGTGTAAATGAACTGTATGTTCTTGCCGCCGTTGGCTGTGTGTGCTGCTGTGGTGATTGCCGCCCTGTGGTGGTGGCGGGGGGCGTCGCAATCGGGGTCTGCGACCGAGCAGCGCAACACGGGCCCTCGAAGTTCCCAGTCCAATCTCGCGTGGTACGCAGACCTGAGCATGCCCTAAAGTGGCACCAGCCAAGGCAGGTGTTGCACTTGACTGATGTCACATTACGGAATATCCTGGTCTGACATACCGTGCAGATTGTAGGGGGAACCAGGAGTTGTTGGCGGCGGCGTGTGGGTGGTGGTGCGGTTGTGTGTGTTATGTGGTTTGTAGTGGCTGTGGTACGGTCTGTGGTGTTATTATGTTGTTGTGTTGTGGTGACTGTGTGAGGCTGCTGTGTGAGTGTGGAGGCTGCTCGGGCGGACGGTGGTTAGCCGTGGAGGCTGCTCTGTTTGAGCAACAGGGGGCCACGTACGACGTGGTCCACTGTCTATGTGTCCGTAGTCCCGAGCAGACTCTGAGGTGACTCAACCCCTCGCAGGCATTACACTTGACTGAGGTGGAGTTGTGGTGTAATCGTCTCCGGCATACACAGCAGGTGTAGGTTTCTGGCCCTGGGTTTGACTCGATGCCAGCCCTGAGTAGGAGAATACGTAGTGAATGTAGCCCTATGGACGGACAACTTCTGAGATACTTCGCCGACCTAAACGGGGTTAGATCGCCGAAACAACAGCCCTTGGTCGGGTAAAACCTGAGTCATTCCGGTACGTAGAACCGGCTGTCGTGGGAATGACATGTCGGTTTGGTTCGACTCAAGTGGTTAAATTTTTTTATACTAAGTGATACAAAAAATACCACAATATAAAAAATATATATATATGTATATTTATATATATGTATAATAGCTCAATCAGCCACCGACAGAGCGCCCTTCCGTACCTGCCGTCAGGCCCGTCGAGAGGGAGGGGGAAAAGGGGTGAATCCCCCCGAGCCCAGGCTTCTTAAAGGGGCCCGAAATATCAGAACCACAACTTGTTATCATTTTTATTTACAATGTAATTGCTACTTCGTTATAGGCCTTCATTATAAACATATTGCGAGTCGTGCTGATTCTTTCCGACTCCATAAATTAAAGAAAATTATCATATGGCCCAAAACGGCGACTGTTACTGTTGCTTTTCAAAACCCGCTGAAACTCGCTAGAATACAACTTTCGGATAGTTTTTCTTCTTTCAACAGCTGCTTTATATTATCGAAAAAGTCTGCTCTCCTTATATAATGTTTTCAAAAGTTGGTACACAGTTTCTTAGCTTAAGGATGGAACTCAAGAGATACGTATTTATTGAACTGATAAAATTAATTTTGAGGTCAATATAATAATGCAAAAAATAGCTTGTAGTCTGTTTTATGCAATAAGTAGCATGAATAAAGCAGACTTGCGATTTGACATGTAATCCAAAGAAATTAAGAACATAATAATTATGAACATAGACTTCTATTGCTGTGCAGCTTTAAGTCGTTTCGGAAGTAATTTTCTGCTTAGAACTCGAACTGGAGCTTACAACTGTGCGAAGATATAGAGGTTTTCCGGGGTTAAGAACACGACAAAAGGCTTGAATGGCCACTTGTTTTTGCTCTATGACATTTAGTACTATTCTTAACCTTCAAAATGCGCCTTAGAGGGTTGCTTTACGAGTTTTCCTTCTGAAACTATGGCCATTGGAAGAAAGCATATGCTTAGTTTGGCGATGTTAGATTCGAGGACAAGACGGTTAAAGTGGACGTAACTCNAAATACACCTGGAGGTTTGCCATTGACTGCCGAGGGACTACCGCTTTTAAGAAAAAACCTTTTTTCTATATTCTTGCGATGTTGCTTTGACCAGAGAATGAATCCAGGCCCTGCGGAGTNATTGTATAGCACTATAGTACTAGAAAAATACTTAAAATAATAATTCCAATAGATTTTGAATATCTAATCAGAAAATCTTCTTCTTTTAGCTTTTTGTTTCGCTTCTTTTGGCCTCGTTCCTTTTTTAAATAATANATTTTTATTTTATATCACATTTTTTTATTTTATATCACATTTTTTTATTTTACTATTAGCTATTTTAAATGTTTAGAGTTGAATTTCATTATAAACTCAACAGCAACTAACTGAAAGCAATGTTAAAAAAATATTGAACTTATAAAAAAATTAATAAAAACGAAATAGATGAAAATCCTACTGACCGTGGGACTCGAACCCACGACCCTCGGCTCGTTAATCCGCAAAACTGACGTCTGTCAGGGCAAAATTAGTTTATATGCATAAGCATGCCCGTATGTCTTGCGTTTTACGTTACAAACAGTTTTCCACGAAAACATATGGATAATGAAGAAACTGCTTTATTTTATTGTGAAAGAAGNCCGCTTTGTTAAACTCGG